TGAATTAGAGGGAAGGAAACTTTTAATTAAGAGAAAGAGAGGTATAGGAGACATAAAGAAATAAATTGAAGGAATGAAGCACCAAATTTTTAAAACTTATATTCCGCTGTCAGAGAGGTTCTTTCAAAGTAGTTGAGACTCATCAAGTTCTGAGGAAGGGTCACCGGAGCTGAAGCATTAATTCTGATTTCTCTTCACACATGCTGCTGAGCATTTCCAGCAATTTCTGTTTTTGTTTAAGACTCATCAAGGCCTACTTATGGTCATTGAAAAAAGACAACTTAAACGTACAAACCTTATTTTTTTCTGATGAGTTTAGTGGCTAAGTCATGGGTACATATAGCAATTTTACACTATTCATGTAAGTGGCAGCAAAGCCTTCCAGCAAAATACTTTTTAAATGTAGTTTCTTGGGGAGCGGGAAAACTCGGAACGCAGCATCCTCAATTCCATATTCACCTTCAGTAAGTACTGTCCAGTTTAAACTTTTGTAGTGGTGAGCGCTGATTGCCAGCATAAAATCCAGCTGTTTCATTGTGTGTTGTAGTGATTGTAACAAGGTCCTCATATGACATGAGGACAAACTCATATGATATGAGTTTCCTGCTTGGGCCTGTTAATCTGGTCCAATCAGGGAGCCCTGGCTGACAGATATGCACAGGAGTGTCAGACGCTTTGTTCGCTCTGAGAGCTGGCTCTGAGGGAGCTGGATCAGTGTCAAGGACTCTCCACGTGTAAATAAAGGGTGACTGGGTGACAGGATACCAGCCTCTGTGGAGTTATTTCAGTATTTGCTTTAACACTAGCCACTTAAAACACTTTCGTATTAATTTATAATTGCAATCGTATGTAAGCAGATGCTAAAATGCTGTAGTTCTCAGTTTTCTCTCCAAAACTGCTAATGTTGAATGTTGGACAGACCATGGCACAAAGAAGGTCAGGGATGCAGAGAGACAGTGATACAAGGAATGGGATGGGGTAGAATAGTACAACAGGTCGTGAGGAGATAACATAATGCAAGTTGAGAGTTCTTGGAGTGGCCTCAAAAGGGCCACTAAGAACGCCGTCACAGGAAACCTTCTAAAAATAAATCAATTCAATGTTTTTCCCATCTCCTGTTAACCAGTCTGTTTTATCCTGCAGCAGCTTTACATTCTTAATGTCCCACTTTTCACAAACAGCTCTCCATTATCACAATTGTGACAAACATTACTGCCTTCACCTTTGAACTACTCACCTCCCCACTTCTGCTTTATGATTTCACTGCAAGTACCAAATAATGTTTTATTTAATTGATTTGTGCTATTAATAGTATATGCTCCCTTACAGAAATGTACAGTATTGGTCATTTAGTGATGTTTTGTTGAATTAATTTATGGTAATATTGATTCAGGGAAACCAAACACTGGGCTGGAGAAATGTGTGTTTGTTGTGATGCTTCAAGTGGCAGTGTTTGCCTTCAGGGAATTGATATAAACACAAAAAAAACACATTTAATCTGGTTTATGGATCAATTTTATAGTCAGCGACCAAGATAACCTGATGCTGAATTGTCATATTCCACTAGGGGGTATAATTACATTGTAAGTGTGTTGATGTCCATTGCAATGATGTTGCAAGGTCTGTATCGAGTAGTGGTTTCCAGTCTGCTCCACTATCTCCTTTTATCATGAAATTTCAGTTCACCTTTAATGGTCAATTAGATTTCACCGCTCAAACAAAAATGTCAAGTTAGTGTAAAACAAGTATTTTGTGTACAACAACATGTTTCTTTGTAAAATGTATTGCTGAGTGGTGCAGTGCTAAATTTTTACTGTTTTAATAAAAAGACTTGCATTTATATAGCACCTTTCGCGCATCCGTTGCAGCCAGTTGTACATATTTTAGAGTATTGTCACTTTTGCAATATTCCTGTGTAGCCTAGTGGCTTACAGTAAAATATACCACATTGCCGTACAAGTCTATATAGCTCAAAAGCTTGTGTCTGACAGTCAATTTCTCATAAAATCTAAGTTACAGCATATGTCTTTCTAATATTATTTGAGGATATATTTGTGATTTTTGTTTACACTCATTTTAAAAGACATTGAAATGTCAGAATTGTGCTAATCCTTGGGGATTTATAAGCAGAATAGACCACTGCAAAATCTTGATATATTTTACAATAATGCCGTCAAGATTTATCTAGAATGTTCAGTATTAAAGTGAATTATTCTATTGTACTCTTCATGAGAGTTGATCATTTTTAATGTTTTTACGGTGGTTTTGAAGAAATCCATGCTTTTTCTGACTGAGATTAAATCATTCTAACTGGGAGAATGCAACAAAGGGCAGTTTAAAAGCTTTCATCCACCGAGCTTTACATTCATATTTCTAGGGATGCAAAACTTTTGGAATTAAACAAATGGCACGTTCAAAAATGCTCTATTACAGATAGATCCTAAATATTGCATTATTGCAATCCATAACAAAATAACAAATACAGTCATGAAGATGTGTTGAACAATTTAGAAAGTTTTCTTCTGTTAACAGTGCAGTACAGGTACAAGGCATTGCTGGATTTCCCAATCCCTTAATTCCAGTAAATGGAGATAGCAGATGTTTTAAAATGTAGTTTTGTTTTTAATTCTAGACTCCAGAAACAGTCAAAAAGGGAATGGTTTTGGAGGAAATCATTGTTATTCCACTCACCCACAAAATCTGCTTGTGAAATCATATGTTGAGAGATATTAATACATCACTTGATGCCTGCAGAATTGCTATTTGAGGACAAGACTCCTTCAATAATTGTTGCTTGAATTTTCTTAGTCCCTGCGGTATTAAGAGTCGTTTCCCACTGCCTGTATGTAAGAGCATTACTCATACAAAGGTGGCCTGCAGTGTTGGCAATTCACGCATTGTTCAGCGATTGTTGGTAAAGCAAAGCAAGATCACGAGCCTTTGCGAAGAGGAAAGGCACATTTATTTTGGGTTCAGATCCTTTGTCAAACAGACCTTCTGTCCATTCCCCCTTTTGTTTCCATACAATCTTTTACGCCTGTCTGTTCCTTTCCTTAAATATTATTCGGTTGAGACAGTCCCTACATCACAAAATTTTCCAACTGATCAAAGTGACAAGTATATTTTTCCATCTGATCTCACATGAAGCCCAATGATTGTTATACTTGGAGCAATAGAGGTTAAAGGGAAAGTTATTAGAGGTGCTCAGAATTATGAAGGTTTTTGGTAGAGTAGATATAGGGAAATTATTTGTGCCCTTAGGAGGATCATTAAACTAGAGGACGTAGATTTAAGATAATTCAAAGAAATAGATGGAGGGAGGGGCAAATAAGGCGATTTGTTTTTTAAACTCAGTGAGTTGTTATATATAGAATATTGTCACACTAAAAGGTTATTACCAGAAATTAAATTTAAAAAAAAAATTTGCAGAGTTGTGAGGAAAGAGTAGAGAGGTGAGACTAATTGACGGCACTTTAATGAGTTCTGCATCACAACCTCCTTCTGTGATGCATGGTTCTATGTTAGTAAAGAGACAGAATTTGCAATAGATTTGTTTCTTTACAACAGCCAGTGCCCTCCCAAATAATTAATTGTGTTTGAAGCACTTTTGGATAAAAATCTAATGCCCATGTCTTAACTCACAATATAGGCTCATTGACCTATATTGGCACCAGGGTCACACACAGACTTGATCTTAAAGTCTTGCTTCTTTTTTTAAAAAAAATCTTTCTATGACTCCCAACTCTCTCCATTGCTTTTTATCTCTTTCTGCCCCATGATCCTCTGGAAGGTCTATGTTCCCCAGCACAAACCCACCATTACATGCTGTGGACAAGAAAAATAAGTGGCTAGTGAGATTTCAGCCTCTCTGTAGCTGTCAGCCAATCTTAACAGCCAGCAGTGCCAGAGCTGTCTAGTGGGCACTGCCAGGAATGCAGCCAGTCCCAAAATGATGCACCATGGATCCAAGTGAATAGCCGGCATTGGATGGTGGGGTGGGATTGTAAAGGTGGGCTGGGTGGAGATGTGCGAGTTCACACAGGGTGGAAGGAAAGTAGATTTTGTCTTCTGGAAGGGTGTCCCAAATGGGCAAATATTAATCTTTCAAGATGGTACCCACCCCCTTTCTAAACAAATTTGTTAACAGAAAAGGTCGCTCAACCGACACACGTTTTAGTGTGGGCAGCAGTGTTTGTAAAAAAAATCTCATTCATAGGACACAGGCATCATTGGCTAAGCTAGCCCTTAGCGTGGCACGGTGCCTCAGTGGTTAGTACTGCTGCCTCACAGCACCAGGGACCTGGGTTCAATTCCAGCCTTGGGCAACTGGCTCCATGGAGTTTGCACATTCTCCTCACGTACGCGTGGGTTTTTTCTCTGTGCTTTCTGGTTTCCTCTCACAATCCAAAGATGTGCAGGTTAGGTGGATTGGCCATGGGAAATGCAGGGTGATGGGGTAGGGAGTATGATGCTCTTTGATGAGTTGGTGTGGACTTGTTGGGCTGAATGGCCTGTTTCCACATTGTAAGGATTCAATAAAAGAAAAATTATTGCTCATCCTGAATTTCCCAGAGGGCAGTTAAGAGTCAGCCATGTTACTATGGGTCTGGAGTCTCCTCTAGGTCAGACCAGGTAAGGATAATAGTTTCCTTCCCTAAACAATCATCATCAGACTCTTAATTCCAGATTTTCCAGTGTCCCTACGTGGGGGCCAGAATATCTGGGTTCAAGTCCTTCCTGCTCTGGAGGTGTATAATGACATGTGTGAACAGGTTGGTTAACAATATCTCTAGTGTGGGCAGGTAACATTAGGGTTAATTGATCTTTTTTAACAAACTGAGTTTGCCATTTTAGATTTTAATGCATCAAAGGCACTACACAAATGCAAGTTATTGGTGTTGTTGATTTCTGCTGTCCAGTTCAATTCCTGTGTAAAAAATGAATCTACCATTGCTTCAGTGTGGAAGTAAGGCCCATCATCAATTTTAATTATCTTTCAGTATGCTGGGACCAGCTGTGATCTTCCAAGTCAAAGCCATTGGTGAAAACGTGTCAACAGCTGATGTGGTGAACATAGCAGGTAGGAATACTGCTTTTACTCTGCATTAAAAATGTCACAGAAAGAATCCTAGCAGACACACACACACACAAACCATGCACATGCACACAAGGAGACTGACACTTAATAGAAGAAACACTTGCGAGGAGAGTGGCACAGATGGGAAATTGAAGTGTAACATTGCAGAGTCAATTAAGGCGACCAGTGACTTCATTGTTTGTAGAGGAGATGGATTTAAATTAAGAGATGTGAGCATGGTGTGGAATAGTGAAAGGGACTGTCTCCATGCACTTAAAAGAGAAATAAAAAAGGACATGAAGATGTATTAGCACAAAGTAAGATCACTAAGAGAGATGGAATTTACCTTACAGACAAATACGGCATGATCTGCATCTGTCTGAAGCTGAAATATAGTGTTTCAGGAACAAAATGTTGTCTAGAAAAAGTCTGTTCAAGTGGGTTGGGGGATGGGTCACATCGAACGAGATAAAAATGGGTAATGGACTTGCTATGATGTTGTCAGTAAATGCTGAACCATTAACAAAAGGTATTTGAAATCCATGTTACAAATGGTCTTGGAGATTTATTTCCTGTGTGGAGCTTCAAAAAGAAGCCTTGTGCAGAGGCAAAGCAGTCTAACAGTAAACGAGTTCCAATAATTGCATGCATATATATTTGAATCAACGCTGTCTAAAGACAAAGATCATCACCACAAGATTATTGGAGTCACTGTTCAACAAGACTGTGCAATCTGCTTCATTTTACCTTTTCTTACAGAGTCATAAAAGCTTTTGGACAAAGTATGCCTTGCTTTAGTAATATTTCCTTTATCATAGCAAATCCAATTTTCCTGTTCTTTCCCTGAACACTTTCCTTGTCTGTAAAGCCTTTAATCTCACCTTTATTTTCTCCTGCACACAACTGTAGAAGTTGATAACCTTGAGAAATGGTGGTAATGAATTAAGCCTCCTGGAAACTGCCACGTGGTTTCTGATTGCTACTTTGCTTTGAGGAGACTTTTCAGCAGCAGTATGTGTCCAGTTCAACACAAAATGAGACACAACTAGACCTAGTTCTTGAGAATTAAGGGCCACATAAGTCCAGTGTCAGTGAGGGAACAAGAGGGGACGGTCGTCGTTGTCTCAGAAGGTTTATGTTGATGGTGGAAAAGGACAGTGAACAATCTAGAGTGATGATAATTACTTGGCGGAGAGCTGACTTCAGTGGGGCAAGCATGGAGGTGGGCCTGATAGGGTTGGTGGGAAAATCTGGAGCTGAACAGCGGCCGATCTTCAAGGAAGCGATGGTTCTGGCCAAGCTGAGGTGTATTCCCTACAATGGGAAAAGTTGGGCAAACAACATCCACAGCTTCCTGGATGGAAAAGAAATAGGAATTAAGATGAAGCAGAGAAAGTGTACTTCTGAAAGGTGTCAGGTAGAAAATGCAGTTGAGAGCCAAACTGAACATAGAACATACAGAAGGGAGGAAAAAGCCAAATAAGAGAAGCAAAGAAGGATTATAAAAAGAAACTGGCAGTTAACGTAAGAGGGAGTCGTAATTATTTGATTTGCTTTGATTTATTATTGTCACATGTACTGAGATACACTGAAAAGTATTATTTTGCATGCTATCCAAAAAAAACATACCTTACATATGTATATCAGGGTAAGAGAACAGAATGCAGAATACAATGTTACAGCTACAGAGAAGATGCAGAGAAAGATCAACTTTAATATATAAGAAGTTTTTCATAAGTCTGATAACAGCAGGGAAGAAGCTGTTCTTAAACCTGTTGGTACATGTTTTCAATGTTTAGTATCTTCTGCTCAATGGAAGAGAGTGGAAGAGCGTATAACCGGGGTGGAAGGGGTCTTTGATTCAGTTGGATGCTTTCCCGAGGCACTGGGAAGTATGGACAGAGCCAATGAAAGGAAGGCTGGTTTTCGTGATGGATTGGGCTGCGTTCACAACTCCCTGTAATTTCTTGCGGTCTCGGGCAGAGCAGTTGCCATACCGAGCTGTGATGTATTTGGATAGGACGCTTTCTGTGATGCATCTAGAAAACCTGGTAAAAGTCATTGTGGATGTGTGGAATTTCCTTAGCCTTCTGAGGAAGTACAGGCATTAGTGTGCTTTCTTGACTGTAGCATCAACATGGATGGACCAGGACAGATTGTTGTCTTTCATCTGCACGCCAACAGGAGAAGAGTGGTCAAAGGAGACATTGGTCCAATGAGGGAGCAAGGAAGGAATTTACATTTGAAAGCAGGATAGACATAGTTGAGGTCCTAAGTAAATACTTTGCATCTGTTTTTACAAATGAATTAGTGCCACCCAAGTCACGGTGACAGAGGATGAACTTCAATCAATTGAAGGGTTCAAAATAGATAACAAAGAGATATTACATCAGCTGTGCTTAAAAGTTGACAAGGCACTGCGATAGGATGAGATGCATTCAAGGATACTGAAGGACATAAGAGTGGAAATGATGGAGGCACAGTCCATAACTTTTCAGTCTTCCTTAGACTCGGGAATTGTTCTAAAGGACTGGAGAATTGCAAACATCACATCCTTGTTCAAAAAAAGGTGTAAGGATAACCCCAGCAATTACAAACCAGGCAGTTTAACTCTGGTGCTGGAGGAGTGGGGGGGTGGGGGCGCACATAACAAGGGATATAGAGAGTGTTTAAATACTGGAGGACGTGGGATCACTTGTAGAAAGATGTAATACAACAAGGATTCAAGACACAGTAAGGGACAAAAATAGTAATTCAGGAAATGAGGGTTAGAGAATGGCAGGACAAGGCAGGGAGAAAAAAAAAACATAAGAATACACCAACAATCAAGACTAGATGTTTATAAAGATAAAACAAAAACAATGGCTCAGTGTATGAATGTGTGTTGTATTCATAAGAAAGTAAAATTATCAGCAAACATTAAAGCAAATAAATACAATCTGATAGCAATTACAGAGACATGGCTACAGGATGACAAGGGTTGATGAGAGGTACCACTGTTAACCAAGGATGGCATTAGTGCAATAGTTAGAAATGATCTTGCTTCAGGAGATCAGGATATAGAATGGGTTTGGGTGGAGACAAGGATTATAGGGAGAAGACGTCACTAGTGGGAGTGGTCTACAAGCCCCCTAACAGTACCATAATGTAGAACAAAGATTACAAGAGGAATTGGACTCTGTGTTAACAGAACAGCAATAATTATGGAAAAATCAGGTTGTCAGTAGTAGCCTGGATGAGGCACTTATAGAATGTTTTCAAGAAAGTTTCTTAGAACAGCCCACATTTTGGAAATGATCAGAAAGCATCTTACAGTAGACATGGTATTATGTAATATGACAGGATTAATTACTGACCTCAAAGGGAAGGCACCCCAAGGTAATAGCAACCACATTAAGATTGTACTTATATTCAGTTTGAAAGGGAGAGGCTTGGGTCTGAGACTGGCAATTTAACTTTAAACAACAGCAACTTGTGAATATGGAAGCTGAAGTGAACTCTTTTATTCCAATAATAGCTATAAACAGGAGATGGATGGGAGAGAAGAACTTTATGAAATTGTATTTATGAGGGAAATGCTTCTAAGTAAACTGATGGAACTGCAAGATGAAAAGTCTCCGCATCCAGATGGACTTCATCCTAGGGTCTTTAAAGAGGTTGCTAATGAAGTGGAAGATGCATTGTATTAACTTTCCAAACTTCCCTAAAGTCAGGTGAAGAAACATGAACATAAAAGTAGAAAGTGTAACCCCTTGAGAGTCAGAGGCAGAAACAGGAAGTTATCAATCAGTTAGCTCAATTTTTGTCATACAGAAGATATTAGAATTAAGGATATTTTAGCTGCATCTGTAAAAAATGTTCTCAAAGTGATTAGGAAGAGTCAGCATGTTTTCATCTAAGACAAATCATGTTTAATCAATTCATTGGGTTTTGTTTAAGGATTAACGTATGAACAAATGGAAGCATTGTACTTGAATTTGCAGAAGGCATTTGGTAACATGCCACATCAAAACTTATTGTGGGAAATAAATGCTCATGGTGCAGAGAGTAATGTGTTGTAATGGATAGATAAATTGGCTGCCTGGCAGAAAACAGAAAGTCTGCATAATTGTCTTTGCCCAATTTGCAGAATGCAACAAGTTACCAATAAAACCTATTAGTTTCCCACCTGTCCCCTGCTCTGAAAAACAGCCGTATTGGATTTGAAACCTTAACTCTGTTTCTCTCTGAACAGATGCTACCAGACCTGTTGAGTTTCTCCAGCACTTCCTGTTTTTATTTAAGCATTTTTCCTGATAAACTGGTTAAATTATGACTAGAATACAGGGAGGCTAGAATTCTGGATTTCTGTCTAGTGACATTACGACTATCCCACTGCGCCCCCCTGCTATGGTTAGTAAGTTTGCAGATGACAACAAAATTGAAGGTGTTTCGTGGACAGTGAAGAAGGTTATCTCGGAGAACAACGGGCTCTTGATCAGATGGGCCAATGGGCCGACGAATGGCAGATGGAGTTTAATTTAGATAAATGTGAGGTGCTGCATTTTGGAAAGGCAAATCACAGCAGAGCTTATACACTTCATGGTAAGGTCCTGGGGAATGTTGCTGAACACAGAAACCTTGGGGTGCAGGTTCATAGTTCCTTGAAAGTGGAGTTGCAGATAGACAGGGTAGTGAAAAAGGCTTTTAACTGCTTGCCTTTATTGGTCAATGCATTGTGTACAGGAGCTGGGAGGTCATGTTGCGACTGTACAGAACATTGTTTAGGCCACTTTTGGAATACTGCATGCAGGTCTGGTCTCCCTGCTATTGGAAGGATGTAGTGAAACTTGAATGGGTTCAGAAAAGATTTACAAGGATGTTGCCAGAGTTGAAGGGTTTGGGTTCATGGTAGCAGTTGAATAGGCTGGGACTATTTTCCCCAGAACATCAGAAGCTGAAGGGGTGACCTTATAGAGGCTTACAAAATCATGAAGGGCATGGATAGGGTAAATAGACAAAGT